GCCTAGGACAGTCTTCAAGGCCTGGTTCCATAGGAAATAAACTATTACCCTGGACAGAAAACTGCAGCTAACTACACACATTGTACCAAGTGCAAAGGTGAGCGCCCAAAACAGGATCAAGCACCCCAGGCAACATTACAGGCTTCTCCCATAGTGTGGGCCTGGGTATGGCTCCCAAGGTTTTACCAAGAATGCACCGATTCAGATGCCCTGCTTTTATTGTTTCATTTGAAAATAGTGAAGAGTCAATTAAAAAGTTGATAAAAAAATAAAGTTAGTTACACAAAGAGTGATTTCTCCATAAAAGGAAGAAAAGGTCCATCACTTCAGGACACTAGCAAAAACAGAAGACTCACAGAGTGGGTTAGCATTATAGGGGGGACACCCAAGGGGGTGTGTGTCCTCAAACACTTTGCCAGTGCCATTAACCTGATGGTAGCAGCCTATAACCCAAGATCTATGAATATCAAGCATGTGTCCTTTTTTGTACAATGATTAGGATACAATGCTTAATAAAAATCTTGAGAAACACCTGGAGTATCTTTTGGTATAGGACAAGGCACCAAACGTAAACAGAAACAATAACCTGGTAAATAATCTAGTATGCACTGAGTTCCAGCAGGGAAAATAATGCTGACAAGATGGTGCTGCATAATTTAACACATTCCTCCTTTATACAGACATCTACATTGTATAATCTATTATGCAAAATTTGGGATGAGAAAATAGGTCATGAAAATTACAGATTTTTAGGCTTCTTGTTAATTGTAGTTTAATTATCTAGTCAATTTTTCCCCCATAAGCATGACAAAAAAACTAATTCAAAGATTTCTAAGATTATTTTGAGCTTTACTTGCATATATCTGGCCATAGCTGAATTGCAATTTCTGATAAGGAGTGCCTCAAAACAGCGGTGACATTCGATATCACAAAGGTACATTTTCCAGCTTGATGGAAAATCTCCATAATGGTGGCCACACGGTTCAATTTTTGATTGAAAAATTCATTCAATTTTTTAATAAACAAATCTGATTGCATCAAATAAATGTCAAAAAGCAGAGGAGGAAAAAAATTCACTTGATCAATTTTGAGAGCTCGATTGATTTAGACTCCTCTGCATTAATCAGATGTGGCCGAGTATTGTCAATCACTTTAAATGCTAAATTAAACATCTGTGTGCGCGCCCAGAACCAATAGTAACAGAGATCAATGATCATTTACATTTATGAATGGTTGTAATTTCAATCATTATTTTCTAGCAATTGTAAAGTACAGATCAATACCATACATGTTGTGGCATTTGATATTTTACTGATGAAAACATTGTTTGTGATCGCTTGTACACAGATTGATCACAAATTGCTATGTGTTTAGATCAGGCCCTGATCGTTCACTCTTCAATGAAAAACAAAAACCAAAGATGCATGTATGCCACTGTCAGGCCCTGATTACAACAGCTCTTTAGGGAACGGTTCACACATATGTATCCAGGTAACACATTATGAATGCATTTGTGCATTGAGTTGCCATTTATGTTGAATAGCACCCCAACATACTTAGTACACACGATGAGAATATCTGATGAATGATTGTCGTTTTTTTTTTTTTTTTTTGCATACTAGTTTCCATACTGAAAATGAAGAGGTTATACAACTTGAGAAAATTCTCATATGACAGAGAAGAATTTTGGAAGTGATGTCATGTATTGTATTTTCAGAGGACTACTGTACTGATTAAACAAAAATCATATGATCTAGTATAGTACAAGAAAAAGTTTTGCGCTTGTCCCTTCAGTTATTGTCACACGAACTGTCGTGATCGGCTCTCGAAAGCTGTATACTAAAATGATCAGATTATCGTACGATCACTCCGCGTAGGAAGATTTTCAAACTATTTTCTTATCGTGTGTTTGGGTCTTAATGCAATGTAGCTGAGCAGCACTAGCAAAAAAAGGGTTGGATGTGACTTTATGTGCTGGGATCCTTAGACAGCCCATTTAAAATGAATAAGCTGCCTTAAGGCAGAGCACATTAATATGAATGCGTTAATGCCCTGCATGGGTGTGAATCAGCCCTTAAGAGTTCATCATATTAGGAAAGACTAGATTACTGACAGCCTTATTAACTAACAATCCATTGTTAGTAGACTTTGGTTCATAAGTTCAAGTATTTAGGAGTCACAGACTTCTTTATAATTTTGCTGTTGTAGTAAGCACACCTTCTCTGAGAAGGAAGTTGTGTTAGGCATAAAGCTTAAAAGTGGAACAGAACAAAGTGAGGATTTGCTATGTTACAAGGAAAATGTAAGAATTTGTATTCCTAAACAGTACTCTTAAAAAAAAAAAAAAAAAAAAAAAAAAAAAAAAAAAAAAATTTACCTTTTGTCTAATATTCCTACTGAAAAAAATCAGTGCACTTCCTGGTATGCCTAGGCACTTCAGTCCCTACAGGCCCCTTTTACACGAAGCGGATTGTGTGTTGCTATCAGTAGAGAATTTGTGAGCTGATCTTCTGCTGTTCAGAGCAGAGCAGGTGGATGATATATCCATACAACCCAAGCGGTTCGATGTTGTAGATAGGGTATTTTGCTAACCATGGCACTTCTAATTGAGCTAGCTTAAAAGAGACATGATCTCTGGCAGCACTCCCTGAAAAGGCAGGCAGGGGGAAAGTTACCATTGTTGTCTACGGTCTCCCTGCAGATGATCTTTTCTCATTACTAACTTACCATGCTTTGTTTTGCACCGTGTCTCTGAGTAGACGTGGCCTTCTTGGTAGAGGAAGGACTTTTGCTTCCTGATGTCAGTCTACAGCAAGGAGAAGGCCCCTTTCAGATGGGCGTTTTGATCAGGTTCACCTGTCAAATTTTCAGGCAAACCTGATCAGAAGGTTCATGCACTCCTATGGACAGGTGAGTGTAAACGGACTTGAGACTCTGTTCCCCTCTATTTAGGCACAGCAGATCAGAGGTAGCCAGGTGTGAACAGACTCCACTATCTGTTTAGGGGGAAGGGAGGGCTGGAAACTGATCTGAGATCAAAAGCTTGAATAATGGTCTGCCTAAGTCACCTAAAGATAGCAGAACGAGAAACCAAAGCACTCATATGTAGTCCATCTGGGGTTACAAAACTAAAATCAGTTTTCGTAAAGGAAACAGTGGCCGAGACACAGACTTTCACAGCCCGAGCCACATCCAGACAACGAAGACCAAGAATCACTCAAAGGTCTAGTAAAGTGCGCCTTAAAGGGAAAGGGTGGAAATCGACCTTTGAGACCATTATAGTTTGGAAGGAGGTCTCCCTGAGCTATGCAGAGATAGTCAAATGAGAAGCCAGATCACCCTTACAGGGTACACCCAGGGTTACAAAAAGGAAATTAGCCTTCCTAAAGGAAGCATTAAGTGAGATATAGCCTGAACCACATCAAAACAATGAAAGGAAATATCCTTTCAGTCAAGTTCCACCAGATAGAGGGAAGAAAGAACAATGTTCTGGTTGAGGTGAAATAAATGAACTACCTTAGGCAACAGGGAAGTTCTGGGCCGCAACAATACCTGGACCTATGCAAAAACAGAATAAAGCTGCATGTTCAGCCATTTGCCTCAGAGTACAAGAAAGACCACCTTGAGACTCACAGCAGAGAGAAGGATGACAGTAATGGGTTCAACTGTGATCTTTAAAGTGCAAAGAGGACAAGGTTAAGATTCCATGGAGTCACAGAGAAACAAACACAGAGCGTTACATAGCAGACTTCCTATACAAAGGTCTAAAACAAGGAATGAAAGTCCAGTGGTCTCTGAAACAAACAGGCTTAGAAGCAGGGTGTCCTTTACAAGAACCAGCAAACACAAATGCTCCTGCGCTTGGGGATGGACTCGATGCAGGCTACAACCACATAAGGAATGTCCTGGAACATGCACACCTTGCTGCCCTCAAATGGACCGGGGAAGAGCCCTGAGGAAGAGGCAAGTCCTCGAAACGCGTCAGCCTTTTGGATGTCTATATTCCCTATTGCGGACTGTTACTCAGTGCGGTGTTGACCCAGCTGTTCTTTATGATGTGCCTTGACTATATTGTCGTTTGTGAGTACAACACATACTTTATTTTTTATTAAACATTTTTTATGGTAATGCACTAGGCCTGTGCGCCCTCTGTTTTTTCTGTCCTTTACAAGACCCTGTTGGCAATAGAAAGAGTAAGTCTGTTTTTCAAATAGAGGCTGTGGGTGACAGACCCTGATAGCTCAGACCACTTTTTAGACAATGGACAGCAATTTATTTTGCATGTTTTGGAGCAGGGAACAAAGAAGGAAGGACAACATCCTCTATTTCCTGAGGAATCAGGAAACAAACTTTGCATTAGACAGCCACTACGGCCACCAAAAAGGCCACTTTGCAGGAGAGATCAACCAAGGGAAAGAAAAGCCAAAAGGCCTCCAGAACAGATAATTAGAACCAACACCTGTTCCTTAAGAGTACAAATTCTCCTCAAGTCCCCACTGTAAGAAGGCCAGAATGCGAGGTACAGAGAAATTTCTAGGGATGAAAAGCCACCCGAAATTTGATTTCCTGGTACAGTAGTATATTTTTAGTAACATGGCATTTCAAGGAGTAAGGTGGAAATGCCTAGGAAGTCAGAGATACCCCTTCTGGGCCAGTTTGTTCAATGAGAATCACCAACTGTTTTGGTGACTTCAGTAGCTTGTTGAAACTGCAGGCCAGGATGTCCACATCTGGAGTCCCCCATTTCTGACACAGGAGGGTGAAGAGGTCAGGATGAAGGGACCATTGTCCCTGGTTCAGGTGGTGATGGCATATTTTCTTTCAAAATGTACATTATTGCTCCACTAGCATTGAAATGTTCAGAATAATTTGTTTCTACTCTCCAGTTATCAAACCCATAATGTGTGCCATTTGTCCCCCCCCCCCCCCTCAAAAACACAATATTATACTAAATAAAAGAAAAAAAAAAAAAAAAAAAAGGGGTATTTTGTGCAACTCACATCTGTTTCTCTCATCTTCTTGAAGTCATCAAAAAGCTGCAGAGCAGTGCTAAGTCCCTCAGCGATAAGGCTGCAGCTCTCGCCACCGCCACCCATAAACCTGCAGAAAGAGCAAAACAGCTGAATGCTCCACTTTAAAGTAAGATAACAACCAGAAAAACATTCAGAAATCAACTTTTATTTCTTCTAAGACTTCTCGTAATTGGTTATGTTCAGCTGAATTCTACAGATGCTGCATTTTAAATCTCACTCTTCTTTGGATGCCTTATTGAACAAGTCCAAGAGTCTGTTGTCGGTATACCCGCATAAGGAACAGCTTTGGGATAATATGATGGAATAACATACCTCCCACAATAAACGGGGAAAGATATCAGCATTTAGCTTGCTGTCCGTTTACCCTTTTAAAAAGGCACTTCGTACAGTGGCTTTGCACACTAACTGAATGCCACTGTAAATCGAAACACCCCTGATAATATAAGCAGTGGGTACTCTAGAGCCCCACACAGCTGCACCAGTGTGATAGATGTGACAGTGGAGCTTCTACCTGCCGCACCGGGAGCAGGGGGGGGGGGGGGCGTGATCTCAAGGGGTGAGGGAGGGGGAAATGCTAACTATGGGTGTAATATGTTTTAAAGGTGAACCTATCCTTTATGAGGTTTTATTGACAAAGGTTTTCAAACAAGATGTGTTCAATGTGTAAACCTTGGGTTGAGGCTGCCTGCAAGTTGTATAAAATAATTTATAAAACAGCCCCCTATGTGTGCCACGATACTGGATACGACACATCAAACCTCTTTGCTTTAAGCATGAACAATTAGATATAAAGCAGCTGCAGATGTTGAATTGTTTTCCAAAGTTCAGGCTCTGAAGCTCCTATTTTGATCTTAAAGGATAAGTGCACTTTTGGAGCATGGTATATGTTCCACCCATATTTAGGGGGTAGAACACATAACATGTTCCAGCTCTTCCGCCTCTTCCCCTGATCCTCCTCCTCCCCCAATGACAGCTGGCGGGAGTACTTCTCCCTGAACACACTGCCAATTTTTGAAAAGAGCAAGGCTGAACAGGCTCCACCCACACCGCTGCATCATTCACTCACAGTTTCCTGTGAATGAACTACAAGTCCCATCTTCCACTGCAACAGATGGGATGTAGTTCTAAATGAACCGCGAGGGTGCTGATGAGTGCTCTTGTAGTTCATGCACAAGCCCTGCAGTTTTTAAACTGACAGCTTGTATGGGGGTATGAAAATAAAGTGTAGCGCAACAAACTATCTCATATAAAAATAAATATAAAAAAATACTTAAAGTCCCATAACAAAAGTCTCTTATAACACCACTGTGTATACTAAGGAGGCCCAAATATGGGGTGTGGCACGTGTAGGTGGGGGGAGCTGGGCCCTAGAGGTTTCAGACTGATGACCATCTGGGAGAGTGAGGTGGTGGGTCATGTAACAAAATGATATATTATATGCTGGATTGTTTCTTACATTTTGTAAGTGTTTTTACTCTGGGCGCTAATAAATGGTTTTATGAATAGAGAGCACTATGGTTCCACTTTTCTGTTTTCCATAAAACATATTATATGAGAGCTGGAGGAACGTATACTGTAGCGGTGCTGGGTGAGGAGCTGGAGGAGGACCCCATAGGGTGTACACAAGTCTGTCCACATGTTGAGCGCATAATGACCTATTGATGAGGTCATAAAGTGAGGTGAGCAGGTTTTTCCCCTAACGGTAGTGGCATGGTCGGTACCGAAGAAGAGAGAAGATTTATACACACATTATTTATACACATTGCACAGTGGTGTTATAAGAGACTTTTTCATGGGACTTTAATTACGGTTTAATATTTATTTTTATATGAGATATTAGTCTGTTAAACTACACTTTATTGTTATTCATTTTGCACAGGTGTTGTGAAGTCTCTAACAGTGTTTAAGCAGCAACTACTTAGAGAACTATCATATTATTTTAGGGTGTGTTGCACTGATTGAATAGGGGTTTAGATTGTATGAAGGTACGGGCTGAAAGCTGCAGGACGTGTCTGCAGACATTTGACATTACTCCTGTGATCCACTGATTGTGGGTGTAAGACTCCTGCAGAAGAAAAAAAAAAAAAAAAAAAGAATTTCACTTTTTTTTCTGTAAAAATATGTGCATTTTTTTTCTTTTTTTCTATAAAAGGTGAACTTATCCTTTAAGCTTACGGTCACATTTCCCCCCCCCCCCCCCCCATCACTCCCTCTCTTCCCCATTGCATGTCCCTGTGCCTGCACATAGCCCACATAGTGGTGTGCTGGGCGCCAGGGATCTGCCCCCTGCAGTGAGGTTCGTAGCTCTCCTTGGTTGGGCGCCAATGAGTCTGCCACCCTGCTGTGCCTGCATGTGGATTCCCCACATGCAGGCCACCTGGGTGTCTCCGCGCGCCCCCCTCCCCTTGTCTTGGCAGCCACAGCGCGGCCCCGAGGTTCCCGTGCTCTGCGCCCGCCAGAGACAAAGGCCGCCCTCCCTGTGCGTGACTGGAGTGAGGGAGCGGGGCTTGTTGCCCCAGAAACCCGACACCAGGCCGGCCGTTGCAACCAGGAAGCGTCCTGCTCCAGCGATAAAAGACCGAAGCAGGACCCGAGCGGGGAGATCATTCCCTGCTCATGTGACAGAGTGCTGTGAGAGGTCTGAGCTGTGGCCAGACCCTACAGCCAAGACCCTGCAAGCTGAGTGCCCCTGCAAGCCTGCCTGCTGCGGAGTGCTCGGATTACCCGTTGCCTGCCAGCCTGCCCCTCTGCTGCGCCCGGATTATCTTTGCCTGCCAGCCTGCCCCTCTGCTGCGCCCGGATTATCTTTGCCTGAACAGGCCCCTCTGCTGTGCCCGGATTATCTTTGCCTGAACTGCCCCTCTGCTTTGCCCGGATTATCTTTGCCTGAACTGCCCCTCTGCTGTGCCCGGATTATCTTTGCCTGAACTGCCCCTCTGCTGTGCCCGGATTATCTTTGCCTGAACTGCCCCTCTGCTTTGCCCGGATTATCTTTGCCTGAACTGCCCCTCTGCTGTGCCCGGAATATCTTTGCCTGAACTGCCCCTCTGCTGTGCCCGGATTATCTTTGCCTGCCAGCCTGTCCTTCTGCTGTGTGCCCGGACTCACCCATTGTCTGTCTGAACTGCCCAGTTGTAGCCTGGACTTTACCCATTACCTGTCTGAACTGTCCCTCTGCTATGTGCCCCGAACTTAACCCTTGCTGCACCAATCAAGTGTCCCAAATCCCTCAATAAAAACCTTGTGTGCCCACTGCTCTCCGCATGTGTTTTGTCCTACCTACACCTCCGTCACACTTACGCACTAACAAGTATGTTGGCAGGTGAATTTGAACTCCCATCTTGAAAACTTAAACATTTTTTAAACCAGCTGGTGAAACCATGATCAGAAAGAGAGCTTTCCAAAATAAATACAATTCAGCAATTGCAGCTCCCATAATTTAGCTTCACAGGCACCCTCTAAGCTGGGTCTTAGAGGGGTTAGTTAAGGTAGGTAGTTGGGTCAAGTCCTAAAGCATATGAAGAAAACAGTTTCATAATTACTTGTTCATTGGCGAGTCTGAAGAAACTTTGCTCTATGACAGAGCTCTAGATGCCGATGCTATTTGACTCCTAGGACTCATCAAACCACAGCAGCCAATGGGGGAAGGGGGGTATGGGGCACTACTCTACATACCTGGAAGTGCAGGATAGGAGGAGTGCCAGAACATCTGCCACAGAGCGAAGTTCCTGACAGGGTTGCCCTAATTGCTTTCAAAAGAAGAACTAATGTACGTAAGGATTCCTATCCAGTGTTATGTTGAGGCACTTATAATATTTTGCCTGTTATATACAGAGGATATAATATAAGCAAGCATACTCAAGTAAATGAACATAGGTAAATCTTACTGGATGCTGTCAAGCCACTGAACAAACTCATAAGCGCTGCTGGTAGGGGCGTGACACTGAACATAAGACTCCGGGGCACAATCCACAGTATTGAAGACCACGAGGCTATACTGTGTGCCACCATACTGCAAAACAAAGCATAACCAGGTGAATAAATTCAGATATAGACAGTCTGCAGATCTGTCTCATTTATGAAAGCAATAAATCAACTCACATCGCCTCCGAAATCGGTTTCTGCTGGAGGACCACCATTGAAATATCTGAAGAAATACAAAAAAGATAGATAATAACAAAGATCTAGGATCAATGCAGCGGTTCTGAATGTTTAAAAGGAAATTTCTGTTATGTAAGAAAAATAAATAAAAAAAAAAAAAAAACACAACAAACACAATCTCCTTTGAGCCAACTAATGCAAGAATTTTTAAATGTATTTTTATTAGGCCTCGTTCACACCATACGCGCAAAAAAACAGATGGAAACTGATGCGCAGATTTCACTTGCAGAGACATCAGTTTTCATGCGTGCTTCAATGAGTTTTATACATGTTGCAGATTCCTGCGCAGAAAAAATCTGCACGTGTTGCTAGTGTTGTGGCGTGAACACGGCACATAGAGAACTATTGATTTTATTGTGCAATTGCAGAATGTGTGCAAAAAAAACTAAAGTCTCTGCATTATGGTGTGAACAAGCCCTTAATCATTCTTTTATACTAAAATGAAGTGCAGAACATTAACATCTTTTACAACTGGAAGTTATAACATGTCCTCTGGTACACCAAACGTCATGTTAAAGTGGTTGTAAACCCTTACATATACCCAGTGAAGTACCTAGCATCTGGTGATACACAGAGATGAAACTAATCCTCCCACATTAGCTCTACTTGTATATCTGCAGTCCTCACTTCTCTACAACGTCCTAAAGCACACACACATTTTACACAGCATTTCTGAGCTCTAGAAGACGGATTGGAGGTCACACACACTGCACAGCATACAGCAGAGAGCAGAGTGTAATCTCAGACCTGAGTGGAGTGAAAGAAACACACCCCCTCTACATGGTTTCATAGGGAAACATACACAGCTGAGGCTGTCAATCACCTGCTGTGCTGGGGGGGGGATGTTGTCCATCTTCAGGGATTGCTTATTGTCAGCATAGACTGTCAAAGTGAATTACAAAAATACAGGCATGACAGAGCAGGCAGAAATCACAGCAGGTGCATTGGATCATGGCAAGTACACACTATAGAAAGATGTTATTTGTTCATTTTTAATGTCAGATGTTTTCAAAACCTTTAACACTGCTCACAGAAGACATGCAACAAAACACTTTAAAATCTTTGAAAGAAAGTCCAGGTTGTCATGGAACTGTACCAGTTAAATTAAAATATATACTGTACATCTCTGCATGGGTAAGATTTGTTTGGTTCATAGACTATTTGGAAATCGTGTTTTCTTGCAGAGGAAAGGATAAACCAGAATGTGTTTCTCATGAAGTAGCAAACATTGGATGAGTGGGACAGAAGAAACTTGTTAAAATCATCAACCAAACTCTTTCAGGAAGGTAGGGGGAAAGACCAAATCGCCATAGGCCAATACATTGTGCATATAACTAAACATTGCAAAAACAAGCATGTATGCTCTTCAAGGTGAGCACATTTCTAAGAACCTCTATTATGTTATTCCAGAAACATTGAAGGACTCCAAAATGAGATTTGTCAAGAGTATTCTTTATTCTTGCTGTCAAGTATTTCATAACTTCTTTAATTTGAATGCATCTGGATTTCACATAGCAGCTTTTTTTGGAGCATTGAAACATCTAAATATGGGACAATCCATATAGACAGCTAGTTGGTTCAAGAGGAACTTTATACTGTGGAATAAGGAGATCCTGTCAAAAAGGACCTTTTTTAGAGCTTCACAAAAGGGAATGGGTTGGAAACACTAGATCCAAATTGGGTTTACTCTTGCAGTGTGGAATGGACTGACTCAGGTAAGCAGCTCTAATGTGCAAAAAGGCCTCTGGGACGTGTTTTGGAAAAAATCCAAATTACCACCCCAAAAGGTTGAGAGTCCAATATTTCTCAAAATAGAATATCTGAAAATTAAAAGCCTAAGCATTTTGGGGGGGTTCTAAGTGAACACCTTTCCTGGGCTACAAAAATACAAACATATATACATACATCCACTATTAACAGAATATAAAACAGGTATCCCAATTACAAAGAAAAAAAAAATGCTTCCTGCATTACAAATTGTTTGAATATTAAATAGTTTTTAGACTTACTGTAAATGAGATGGAAAGGTAAAGTGCTAAAAAACTGTGCAAAACACGGTATTAAAATGTATTTTTAAGTGAATATGTAGGGCTGTACCCTTGGTAAAACACAAACAAGTAACCCATCCCACTTGAACTGGCTATTAAATGAATTTATATACCTAAGGATTAGGTTGCTCACACATACAAATAAAATAATACACTCATACCATTATCCAAAATGCCATATGCGTAAATGTATATACCCAATATATTATGTTAACCACATATACAAATCAAATGATATACTTAAACTTCTTTTCAAAATGCTTTACATGTAGAAGAGATAAAATACATAAAAACCCCTTGTTAATCCACCCAAATACAAATATTATTGCCCCAAAATGTTGCTAAAAACCGTACAAACTACAACAGTTCACCTATTGCACCTTAAGATAGGAATCCCTGAGTCTAAACCCACAAAAAATATTACGTGTATCAGGACCATATGGTACTCCACTGTAGCCTTAATTAAATAGTTAATAGCCCACAATAATATATTATACCCATGCACCTACATGATCTAAAAACAATACACAGTATGTCCTTATAAAGGATCTCCAAAGTACATCCAGACATTGCAGAATCTCTACACTGGAACAACAAGTGTCTTGTAGTCTGTAGAATAAGTAATGAGTAAGTTACTCAAGAGTCTCTTGTATAGAATCAATATAATTTATCAGTTCCTAGATTGTAAGCTCGAAAGAGCAGGGCCCTCGATCTCCTTATGTTTTGCATTGTATTGGTATTGTTCTGTCACATGTTCTGTCCCCCTTTGTAATGTACAGCGCTGAGCGAACCATTGGCGCTTTATAAATACTGTATAATAATAATAATAATCAGTAGTATAACAACACTAGCTTACATCTTTAAAGGATAAGTTAACCTTTCATAACATGTCACGTTACATTCACATTCAGGGTGTAACACATAACATGTTATGAAATGACTGGCCTCTGCACCCCCGATCCCCTGCTTTGACAGCTAGCGGGGGATCTTCTATGAAAAAAAAAAAAAAAGAAAGAAGAAGGTGGCCAAGTAGGCTTCCCCCACCTGGCCACGTCCCTCATTAACAGTATGCTGTGAATAGGAAACTACAAGTACCAACGGTGGCTATCGGCTTGTAGTTCTCAATGAACTACTGTGAGTGCCGTGGTAGTTCAGATTCTTCCTGTCAGTAAGTATTGGCTTGCCTGCAAGAGGTACGAGCAAGCAGATACACTGACAGGTCTGCAGGAGTCCTGCATGGCACCAGAGATCTGCTGATCACTGGTGCAATGCCTTCAAGGCTCCTGCAACAAAAAATAATAAATGCACATTTTTACCTACAAAAAAATGTGCATTTATTATTTTTTGTTGAAAGGTGAGTCAGTAAAGGGTATTACTTAAAAGTCAAACTTTCTGCAATGAAAATGTGGAAAAATAAAATAAGATTCAGTCTCACCCATCCAACATAACTGATACATACAGTAAAGCAGCCTAATCACTGCAATCCAGAATCCAAAACTGAGCGGTAAAGTTCATAGGTGAGTGTACAAAGTAACGCTTGATCGTCCAGGCAGCACAAGATGCAATGACGACAGGAGAGAGGAACCCAGCCAGAGTGGTTGCTACATGTGACTTGTCTTCCCAATTACAACAATGTATACTCCAAAAAAAATTATTTTCAACCACAATATTGCACCAACTGCACTTCAAGATAGGAAGTCTCAGAATGCAATGGTGGTAGAAGGGATGAACCCAACTGGAGTAACACCACAAGGGTTACCCAAAAATTAATTGGAGATTCACTTTTGTGATTGTATAGTATGCCTCCTGCGCTATTAAATCCCCTATCACTAAGCAGCTAGCACTTGAAATGCCACAACCCAGGCACACAATACAATGTAATATAAATATCTATTAATAGTGCAGCGCTATAACTTGTAAAATACTTATACACATATATGTAAAACATGCAATATTTGTGATGCCCCTATCATGGGGTTTTTCTGTGTCCACTCTCGGTGCTGTGAGAAATGCTATACAGTGAAGTCCACACACTATATCGGACACATGAATGACTCTTTGTGCATGTGCTCCACACTAAGTGCAACCAAACGGGGTGTCAATCCAGGTATATCCTGACGAAGTCACGTGGTCCAATCATTGACGTAACGCGTAGATACGTTCGTGGGAGGAGTCGTAGCGGTGACGCGGCTGACGTCACGTCCGACGTAGGCGCCATTTTGGTACACCTTATCAGAATCCATGCATGCAGTACACCCATAGCGTGGTGAAAAAAGCTGTTTTACACCTACAAAAGTGCGAGTAGGAAATTTTTAAATGTTTATAGCATTTTTATGCAAATAAATGGTTTTACACTTTGCCTTGCTGGGAACGTATTTGGAGAGGTTCCAATTTCATTACTAATGAGAGGGTCCCACCACTACTGCTGAGGAGGATCTGACGGTCTGTGGAGGAATAATAAGGCATCATTTGGCTCATTGGTCCTGAGGGGCCTGGGCAGGAAGGTGAGGGGGCACCCCTGTCACTGTGGATTGACACCCCGTTTGGTTGCACTTAGTGTGGAGCACATGCACAAAGAGTCATTCATGTGTCCGATATAGTGTGTGGACTTCACTGTATAGCATTTCTCACAGCACCGAGAGTGGACACAGAAAAACCCCATGATAGGGGCATCACAAATATTGCATGTTTTACATATATGTGTATAAGTATTTTACAAGTTATAGCGCTGCACTATTAATAGATATTTATATCACTTTTGTGATTGCCACAAACAGTCCCAAATAAAAGCTAGTCACCCAAAACATCTTAAAAGGACAAAATCTTGCAACCATTAAAGAAGTGGAGGTGGGTGATCACACAGCCACATTTAAAACTTTACTTCCAAAGAAAGCATCTGCTGATGCTACTATGACCACCTTGTAAACTACTTAAAAAG